CTATTAATCTTTATTTGTATTTGAATATTGATAGGCACTAAAAATCAAATATGGAGAGAAAGAAACATTTGAAGTAAAAATACCTTTAATGTTTTAATGCAGTGGAGAATCTTATGAAAATATAAGCTCTGCATTTAGAACTAGCTGATTTATTAGTCAAAGAAAGAACTGATAAAAGGGTGTTTCTAGGCAGGATACACTGCAATTCCAAGTTTAAATACTTAAGTGATAGGACTCTGATGGGATTTTCATGGTTGCCTAGATATCCAAGCTTCACTACAACCTGCTTCCAGACATACCACAGAGTATGCCAACATGGTTAAACACTCTTGATTAAACCTTAGAGGACAACATAGAATTATAGAGGACAACAGAGAGGACAATATAGAAATTCCTCTCTTCTCTTAAGCTTATATTACTTCAATACAGTATATAAACAGCTAAATCCTTAATTAATGACAGGCTGCTCTAAATCAACAGGGAGCCAGTAAAAATATCTGAATCTCTCTCTCACTGAAATAAGGGAATGTACTTGCCAAATTATTGCCTTCTAGAAAAGTTTAGGTCCCCTAAGAAAGTGAGAAGGAGGGACCTTTTCTAACCTAAGTGATAAGTTATAACCATGCATTATTTAAACACAAGAAGAAAGAGGGAAGTCCTCTGCAGAAGCAACAAGCAGGACCCACCTTAAAAACAACTTCCAAGTAAGCTGGGTTAAAGTCCACTAACTACAACAATTCCTATGTTATGTTTTTATAACACATTTCACTCTTTGCCATCAGGTGTCCCTATAGCGTTTTTACACTCAGTGGATTTATCCTGAATACAATTTATTTGAAAGGGGACCTACCTCCATCCTGTGGCCTAAGCTAAGGGTATAAAGGCACTAAGTGACTTGCCCAAGGTCAGTGAGAGTGCCTAACTCAGAGATCATGCTTCAGGCACAAGACTGGCCTTTTCTTCCCCTTTTGTTAATCAGTTACTGGCATCACTTACTTTTGACGTAAACTGCACTTCCACTTGGCAAGACGACTACACTGGAGGCTGGACTGGCAGGTCTGGGGGACTTCACTGTTGCTACACTGCCACTTGGAACAGGGGTAGATGTTGGGGTTGAAGTGGTACTTGTGTAGGAATAGCAAACCACCACTGAAGAGGAGAAAAGACACCTTCCATATAACTCAAGTGCAGAATCCCATCATTCTATCACTATTTTAACATTTGTGAAGAAGCCAAAGACTTCTTGGGTCATTATCCACATCTTTGATGGATAATGGGGCCTCTGTGGTCCCTTTACTGTTAGCTGAAACCCTAGTTTGATCTAAGCATGACCGTAGAATTAAATACCTATCAAGAAAATGCAGAAGTTTATTTGTCCTTCTCCAGTCCCCAAAAATTTGTGTTGACAATTCTAGCTTTTGATTTATATTAATTATACGTTTTACATTACAGTTAAAAATAAAAGAATTAAAAGCATTAAGTTATTTTTGCAAAGGACATACAATGCTTGTCCAGATTTGTAACTCACAGTAAATAGTGCCCCTCCTCAGAGGTAAGTCAGCTGAAGAAACCGACAGGCTTTTTTATATACTAATACAATTACTATTTCTCTTAAACAGCCTTTTTCAATGGCTATTTAAAAATAATAGAATCATGATTCAATATTCCTCACAAAACCTACTTCAAGAAGTGTTAGACATTCCCTAGCTGCATGAAACATAATTCAAGCCCATTCAGCCAGGTTAGACGGAATGTATAAAAACATTACTGAAAAGAAGTGGGAAAGGTGGAAAGCTATTTTTCAACTTAGTAGCTTGACATAATTAATCTGAAGTTAATAAAAAAAAGAGTATTTTGAATATTCATTCTTGAAGATTGTCTCGAATATCAACAAAACTTAGAAGAACCCATACTTACAGTGCTAAATTGATCTGAAACATTTTTCCACCACCTAAGAACTATACAAAACGCTGGACCAACAATTGAAGGTTATCTAGATTGCAGGGATTAAGAAGTTAACCAGTGATTTCTTTTTCCCCTGGAGCTAGTTGTCCCCTGCTAACATAATACCGTGAGATTTACACTGCAGATGCTGTAAAAGCACCTTTAAAAAAGGAAGAATTTTTGCATTTCAATGAACACCCTGCAAGAAGACTCAGACTTAAAATGAAAAAAATACCTAAGGCTGCAGATTTAAGATAACATTTTATAATGTGACATTGTATTTCCACACTTTGCAGACGATTACCAGCACGTCTCACCTTCTTTGTTTCCGGTTTCTGCGGGGACTGGAAGAGATGCATTGTGCTGGACAGCTGCGTTGGCAACAGCATTAGCTGTGACAGTAAAAGCTGTTTGTGGGACAAGCCGTGGCATCAGTGGCACCAGTCGACGTCCTTCTATAGACCATTCTGAAGAGCTATTTGGTCCAGACATACTAGACAGAAATGCACATTCTGTAAGTATTCCGTTGACTTTCCAAAATACTCAATGTTTCTTATTCAGTCTTTTTTCCAACAGTGATTATCTACAAGGCTCTTCCTTAAGACATAGTAGATAATAATCTCCAGTCTTTCTCATTTCATGAAAATCTTTCCTTTTTCTACCTGATGTAGAAACCCTCCCAAGGCATTTTTTTCCTTTTAACACTGTTTCAGAGAACCCTTAAAGGACCAGAGGTCTGTGGATGACAAGTTCAAAACCTCACGTAGTGCTGGCACCCTATGGATGTCTGGATGACAAAAACAGCTAGATAACAACCCCCCCCCCAAAACCATAAACACTCCCCAAACTAATTATGATGCAGGGAAGGGGAGTAAATCTTGCTTTACCTCAGCAGAAAAGTAACAGCACTTAAGATACACACCGTACTTCTTCCTCAACAGAAACAAGCCTGCTGCTTTCTCTTCACCTTAATACTTGAAGATAAACTAGAATGCTTCAGTAAAATGCTATTCTTATCTAAGTAGAGAAGTTGCTGTTAAATCCAAATATGCTTTAGCATTCCTGATACATATTCATGCAGCATAAAAAGAGCTTCATAATCTTAAGTAAAAACATATTTTTAACATCAAAAGTAAAACAAAATGTTCCAAATAGGAAAGCTGGCAAAGTCTGATTTTAAAAGTCTGATAGCAAATCATTTAAGTAAAATACTATATTATTATCTACCGCTTAGGAAGAAATTAAACAGAGGAAAGAAAGAAAAAAAAATAGTACTTTAGTTGCACCATGTCTGGATTATATAGCTTATCTGTTTGAAGTTCTGTAATTCAGGACAAACAGTATGCTTATTTCATAAAATGGAAAAACAGAGCTAGTACCAGTATATAACTAGTAAGAAGAAACTCAAGGAAGAAAACCAATTTTTATAACTATTTTTTTTCCCCCCTCCATTATTCACTTTCATTCTTTAATGAAGCGTAAAGAAGCCAGTGTTTTCTGTTTGGTAAATAATGTACTTCTAAAGGGGCCAGTTACTTGTATGCTTTCATTTTGCCTCCCCATAGCATTTATGTTATAATAGTCAATTTTTAAAAGCCCTGGTTATAATATGCAAAAAGAAACAAAAATAGAGGCACTTTTATAGACTAGTTTGTTTAAAGACTTTTTTTAATGGCAAGACTATTAAGCATCTATCAGATATATGCAAGCACTTGTTCTCTCATTTCTCTCTATTCCACAAGATCATGTGGAGTTCAGGAGAGCAAATGCAAGGAGAAACCATCCCATTTGATGCCATGACAGCAGTCGTGTCAAGCAGTTCAAGCCAAGAACAGGGGACACTGATGTCTTTATAAAGCCTTCTGCAGGTTTTCACTCTGACCCTTTTTCTCCTCTGTGTTGATATATTGTTTTTCACTAATCTCTCCCATCTCCTCCCTTCCCTTGTCTGTGTAGTTAATTCCCTCTTTGTGTAACCACATCAAATGGATCTGAACAAAACGGAACTTAAAAAAAAAAACATAGAACAGACATGAAAGCTGTATACGAGGTTACTCATCTTGCTTATGTTTCCTCTCTTTTCTCTACCCTTTGTTTCTTCTAGTCTATTTTACTGAAAGCTCTCCATGAAAAGACTGCATCCAAATCACGTTTGTTCAGTGAATGGAATAGCTTAGATCCAAAACATGAACATACTAAATAATTCTTTCCAGTATCCTGATGTAAAACTGATCCTCCTATATCCATACACTGTTTAAACTACTATTCTTTAAGCCACTATCAATCTTCCAAGTTCTATCATTCAGGTTAAGGAATAATGGATTTTCCAGTGGATATCTTTGGAAATCACATAAAAAATGACCTATAACTTACTTGTGTGCAATAGTTGTTAATCGTTCATCATTTACTGCTCTCCGAACTTCGGCACGATGTCTTTCCGTTGAAATACTTTTGTGGGGGAGAGAAGAGGAGGAGGGAAAGATACCAATATATTTTAGTCAGAGGAGGACATGAACATTTATCTAAAACTTCTAGATAAATGAAACTTATGAATAATCTACTCGGAGGACCAAAGGGAAGAGGCATTTACATTTGAAAGATCGTCACTTAATTTTTGCTATCACAAGAAGAACATATTATTGTTTGAAAACTATTATTCAAGAATAAAGAGAATATTACTGTTTGCAGGCTACCACTGCAAAACAGCTGAAATCCAATCTCCTAAAGACAGCAATGATTTTAAAGTGCATGGAACATGCAGCTTTCCTCATTATTATAACTTGGACCCAATGCCTTCAAATCCCACGTTAATGAAACTCTAAGCCAGCAGGCACTCATGCTACAAGCCAGTGTGCTCATGCTTGCTGCAATATTCCCAACACGCATCTCAAATAAACCCAAAACAGTAAATCCTCAACCACGGAGGCTATCCCATACTGGATAGGAATCACAACTCCACTAGGAGATTGCATTAGGGTGACAAAGACACACACACACACAAAAAAGGCACAATATCCTCGATGGAAACAGTTCATCTGAACATACTAGACAAGTTTAAAAATGTTATGATTACCTAAGCACTTTAGAGAGTTCTCCAAGAAGATCCTTCTTCTCCTTCGTAAGGTCTCCCTGTGCACGTAAGGCACTGATGACACCTGCATATGCCTCCAGTTCTAAAGAATTGGAGCAAATTGTAGTTTTATTTAACATTCACAGCAAAGGAAAATGTTATTTTCAGTATTACTGACAGTATTCTATTAATTTTCAAAATCACAAAAAGGAACATGCCTTTCAATTACATAGTGCTTTTCAAAAGAGACTAACAATTTAGAACTCCATCAGTCAATTGCTCTGCAGCGTACAGCTTGTCTATGAAATAGAATTGTGTCTTCACGAAAGATGATCTAGAAAGGAGTTCACAAACCCAAGAGAATTCTCCCAGCTCTCTCTGACAGGTCAGCCTGAAGGCTTTGAGGGAGAAAAAAAAAAAAAATGACCAGCAGCTTAGAATTCTCTAGAAGGAGGAGAAAATATCATAGACCATTATTAAAAGTTCCATGGGAAGACTCACCATGCGAAAGAAAGGTTTTATTTGGCCTTACGAAAAATCTTACTGGAAGAGCAAATGATCTTTTTCTGCTAATGCTGCTCCTTAATTAGGATGTAGAATACCAGCTCTAGTTTGTTGAATATGGGAATTTTTAACTTTTAAGTCCATTTACTTGATATACACAACTGCTTCAAACAGAAAAATGAAACACAGTGCCTTCAACCTGCCCAATACATCAAAAAAAACATGATCCAGGTATTTGTAAATGTACGCAGAGATTAACCCACAAAAAAGGAGTTATGATAAAAATATAATTCCATGAGATCTATGTAAGTGCTATTTAAAAAATAAACAGTAAAAGATATTGAATTTTCCAAATTCTGTCCTATTAAGGTGACTACTACACCTAATAAAAAAAAACAAAAAAAAAAACAATCAAGAGTAACAAAGAATGACTTGCTGTTCTATGCTTAGCAGTGTATATTTTTTTAAAAAAAATGTTATTAAAAGTCATGCTAGTGATACACATTTTTTTGATACTTACGTAGGTGTCTTTCATTCAACATCCCATTTCTGCGACCAAAACAAACAAAACCCACAAGAGATCCTAATTACCAAAAATAAGAATAAAAAGGAGGCCAGCCCAAACCTAGCAAGAGCCTAAAGAATCTGTCTGAAATTAGCTGCGATATAAAGACGACTGATGCTACTTGGAAGGCACTCAGAGTACGATTCCAAAGAGCTAATTTACAAATCAAATCAAGGAATCCTGCTGAAAAGACATCCTGCTCTCCTGTCCTGATTAAGCAAACAAAACATAAAGCAGAGTCACTTTGGTTAAATATACAGCCTGCACAGGGATGTGGACTGACCTACAGAAGCATCTGCAGCTTTGGTTACAAAACACTTGCTAATTAATGCAATGGTTATTACTAATATCAGCATTTAGACAACCACGCTACAATATTTGGGATGCTAATTATTTTTTTCCTCTCTTAACAACACAGAGTAATCCCAGATACAATCGTATTATTTAGCAAGGAGAGATTTTTGTTTGTTTGTTTTGAATAAAGTTCCTCTAAACTAAGCCTTTAAAATGCTGGCTTTTAAGAAATTTGTAAAAATCACAGAAAAAGTATCAACTAGCTCCGCCAGACTTATATTGGTGTAGGAAACACTACCTGATGCGCTCTGTTCGACAGGAAGCAGCTGAAAAAAAAACCTTTAAAAAAGAGGTTTGCCAAATATAGACCATTATTTCAAATGTAAGGCTGCCTCTGCCATCCCCTTATTCAGCTATAAACCCGAAACAGTGCAGAATAACACCAGCTATTACCCCTTTTGGGTACATTTCGGCCTCACTCGCACCCTGCTTTTGTTTTTGCAGAGTACCCTGGTGCTGCAGAACTGCCAACCAAGTGAGACGTTGGATTGGGAGGGTAGAAAGCGGGATCCTATAACCAGCTCTATGGATGGGCTTTATGACTCTCC